CTCAAATTAACTTCTGCTGTTTAGGCTAGTTGAAAAGACTAAAAAAAAGACATTATCAACCTAGGAAGATGTTTTATTGATTGTGTCCTTTGCTCATTAAAGGTAGATCTTTTGTTCTAATCACATGAATGGCTCAAATGTCATTAGGGAAAATGTTTAACATCCAAAAATGTGAGGTGGTCATCTCTAAGAACTTACCATAATCCATTAGCAATTAATTCTCAAGTAGTCACCATTTATACTTTGCACTTACCCGTTTTACTTAGAAAGTGGAACTGGTAACAGTAGATTGGCCAACCAAACACCTAAACATAAACAATGAAATAAAAAATAAATAATAAGAGGCAACAGCCACAAACTGAAGCACCAAAAGGAGGTTGTGGAGTCTCCTTCTCTGGAGGTCTCCAAACCCACCTGGATGTCGCCCTGTGCCCCGTGCTCTRGGTGTCCCTGCTGGAGCAGGGGGATGGACTGGATGATCTCTAGAGGTCCTTTCTAACCTTAGTGATTCTGTGATTAAATGACAGCGCTTCAGTATTGCACAGAAATCCAGTAATATCCAGTAATAAAATAACCTGTATGGTTGTAATTAAATTGTAATAAAAGAGTTTTCTAAAAAAAAATTTGGGCCTACTGCCTATAGAGAAATTTAGGTTGGCTGGTGCTTTTGTGATTTAAAATTCTACAGAGATGAGGGAATGGCACTAGTGTTAAACTCAATATCTCATTTCTATTTTGAACTCAAGTTTATAATCACTGTCCTGCATTAGGGCTGGATTGGTTCTTTATTGTGTTGTCTACATTTTTCTATGGAGTTACTCTATATAGCTACTTTGGCATAAATGTGGTATTTTAGGGGAGAATTTGCCTATTAAATATTTAAGAAAATAGCCTCACTTCAGCCTGAAACTTAATATATTGCATCTTGACTAGAATTTGCAGGGATACTGAGAATAATCAGTAACTTTTTTTTTTCCAAAATATTGCCTTTTTTCGCATTTTTGAAACATTTCCATTTTTTTTCATAGTGCAGAAATGACTATGTGCTAAAATTTCATTTTAAAGATATATTTGTCCTCACAGAAAACTAGTTCACAAGTCTAGTTTTATGCTTGAAACTTATCTTATGGAGTGAGAATTCTGTGATTTTTTTTTTTTTTTTTTGGAACATTACCAGCTCTAAATACCCTCGCTTGGCGATAATGTAATTTCCATGAGTCACTCAGAATTTTGCAGGTTTTGCACTCAGGTTTTGCATTCTGATGGAGCTTCATATGGATAGTCCTGAGCTGACTTGGAAGCAAAAGGTTCAGTTTGGGCACAAATAAATCTAGATAGACAAAATCTGGGAAATAAGCTCTGGCCCTGCAAGTGGTGTTCAGGTTTTCTTTAGCATGGGTATGTCAGGAGCACAAGGGAAGTGTGTATTTATAGCGGGAAGGTTGGACTAGATGATCTCTAGAGGATCCTTCCAACTTTGAACATTCTGTGATTCTGTGATTTGTGATTTAAGAAATCATTCCATGTTACCGTGAGACTTTACTTCTGCTTTTTCTTATTGAAATGTCTAAACTTCAGGTTCTGAAAGTTTTGTAGGAAGTGTCACAAGTAGCTTCTGTGGTCAARAAGATGAACCTCTTGAGTCAAAAAATGCTAACTGCAAGTAAAGCAGCAACTTCTCCATCTGCATTCATGTGCATGCAGAGGTAGAAGGAAGAAGGGACCCTCGTAATTTAGGGAATAATAAGCTAAATCTTTTGATCAGATTTTGCAAGATGCAGAAACAAAAAGGTAAGTGTCAGAAATAGTGTGTGATAAAAAGAAGCAGGCTCTTCACCACTTAAAACTTTAGGCTTTTTATATGATTGCTTTCAGGCTAGCCTGAGACCACATAACTCTTTGGACTTTGTATTAGATTAAATCAGTCCCGGGTTTTCCAAGCAAGGTTATTGCTCTGCTCCGTGGTTCTCCCATGAGCCAGCTCTGTCTATTTCTAATTAAGGACTAAAGGAAATGGTTCTTCCCCATGTTGRCATGAGCATGATAAAGCTCACAGCGTCCGTGTCCATGGCATGGGGAGACTGGGGTGATAGGGGCCCCCCGTTGCTTATGTGGGGCACAGCTGAAGAAGGGACAGTCTTTGACATAATCTCCTGAAAATCATAACAACAGCTTGAAGATTATTGAACATCCCAAGTCCAAGACACCTGGCAATCCATTGGTATTTTGTCTGTACAATATCTGATAGCAAAATTATTTAAGGTATCTTAGAAGAAGCCGAGAACGTAAAGCTGAGTAGCCTGGATGACGATGCTGTCATCCAGGCTTAGACTTAACGAAGCACGTTAAGTCTAAGGTGCTGGCACTTGGACATGATTGATTGGGAAATGTTTCCCTTTCAGTACATCTCTTGGCAGATCTTAGGACAAAGGTGAATGAAAATGTCTTTAAATCAGTGTGCTAAACTTGGGATAGTATTGCTTTTCTAATATAATATTTACTCATATACCACGTTTGCAAGTATTTAAATTGTCACTCATGCATCAGTTAATGTCCTTAAGCAGGAGTTTGAAATGGATGCAACATCTTTTAAAAACAATATTCTGCTTAAAAAATATCGAAATCCATCCTATTGGARTTTGACCCCTTATAAAATAAACTACATCGGTTTTCTTAGAGATGAATGGTTGTCTGTGCTTTAGTTGCTTAATCTTGCAAAATTGCTTTGACATTTTGGTCCATACTAGAAAATCCTTCATCAATAAACTGATAGGTGTCTGTGCATATAATATGCATATATACATGCACCTTATACATATGCATACATGGAGAAAAATCTTAAGATTTTTAAGATTTTCTTAATTAATCTTAAGATTCTTAAGGTTTTAAGTGGAGAAAAATCTTAAGATTTGTGTGGACTTGTTCTACATGGCACATGCATGGAAAAGAGGAATGCAGTGTATATGCTTGAAAAGGTATATGTATGTTTGGTGTTATCTTAAATTACAAATTTAAAAGAATAGAAAGACAGAAGGAAGGAAGGAAACTATTAAGGAGACTCATTTTCCATTAACTGAAATGTTTGCAATAAAGACAATTGTAGCAGTTGGCAATATTCTYCTTGAACCAAAATAAATAAATACATTCAGTGACATACGTTCAAGGAAATGTGATTGTTGTAATGTTCATGCAAATAAGGAGCAGACTCACAAATGCCAGAGATTTTGCCATCTGGCATTACCAAAGGAATACAACTCAACTTGTAGCTCTTCCTCACTTACTGCTCAAACGTAGCATTTTAGGCATTGTCACACTGCCTTGTCGTTTGCATAATCAGTCTAAATTATTGCCCATCATGGATGCCATTGCTAATAGCCAGTGTCTAATTCAGGAAGAGCAGGAGGAGGCTCAGAGATCAAAGGACTTACATGTCTTTATTGATTATTTCCCTCTATCATATAAAGCAATAAATAAATCCCTCCACTTAAGGGGTATCGCGCTGCTACATTTTTTAATTCGTCTGAGGCGCAGTGAAGAGCGTTGCACTTGTTTATTTCCTAGAAACCGGATGAAGATGAGCATTATAATTAATCTCAGAGGAGYTGCCCATCTCTATTTGACTGCAGGCGAGAGTCCAGATACAAAGTGTCTCAAAGAGGCAAGGATGGGGAAAGGCAGCTGATGATCATGATGATGAAAACAGATCCCTGCAACTGCAGATAAACCCACGGTTATTTTGGGTGACAGAAAACCAAATCAGGCATAAGGGTTATTGTAGGAAAGTTTTATACATGATGTATCCCATGAGGGTATATTCCGATGGTATGACAGAGTAGCTGGGGACAGTGTTTCATGTAATAGCAAATGAGGATTGCTCTGCCACGTGGCATCTGCAGGGTGCACAGTGCATCCCCCTGGCATGACTCCATCTTTCTTACTCTTGTCCTCCCAGGGGACATTTGGGGTATTTTGTTGAGCCCAACTCCATCCTGAAACTGGCTACTCATTGCACTCCTTTTTGAAGGGAGAGTGTTGGTGTGGAATATATACATTGCTCTAGAAGAGCACAGGATAAAAATTATCCTTGCAAGCATAAAAAAAAATAGTATCTGGAGGCTTTTTCCAAGATGCTGTAGTGAAATTCTGTGTTAAAATAAGCGTCTGTGCTTCCAAGTCCTGCTCTGTGTTCAGCATTTGCAATTGGGGTGTAGGTAGAAAGGTCAGCTCAGAGTCTACTGGGGATTAATCTACTCATATGAACACTAGTAGTAAGGGTAGACCTGACCAGGAGGAATTAGCAGCATTAATGGATTAAGGTAGGATTCCAGTGTCCTTTGGTGCCTAAAGAGTGTCTACATTACCTATGGCTCTCTTAAATCTTGAATTAAAATCAGATAGCTGTTGGACTTTTTACAGCCTTGCCTGAGGCATACTATGTAATGTCCTGTGGGTTGCAAGTGCAGCATATGTTTTGCTAACTGGGAAACTACTAGTTAGCAGGACAACCTTGTTTTTTTTTATTATTATTAACAAATGGTACATTTACATGGCATTAATATATGCATCTGCTTTAGAGACTTAGAGCACCCAAACACAGGCATGAGCTGAGCTAGGCAAAGCAAGCAATCCTCATACTCATGCCATTATCTGAACTAGCGTGGAAAACTTATTAGACTCTTTGGTTTCCTTTGTGATGAGAACAATGCCTAAGAGATTCAATTTTGCAAACCTGGTGCTGAGCTGGGGAAAGGACCCTGTGTTTTACAGTGTCATGCGTTAAATTGGCATTTGGAGAAAAAAAGGTTGATTTTTATTTTGTATGCCTACGTTTGTAACAGATTAATTCATTTCTAAATGATTTCTAAACAGACTTTATTGTCTTCCCAGCCGCACTCCCCCAGCCATACATACACGACCATGCTAGCATTCATTTATTCATGCTCTGAAGTTGTGATGGTGTCAAATCCATCAGAAAGAGGAATTGTTTCAGTAGTAGTTTCATGACTTGGCTGATTAACAGAGATCAGAAGCAGCAGCCTAACTGTGGAAACCACTACAGCATGTAGTTTTAACAGTTCTTTAGGGAGCTAGTTAATGAAAGAATCACTACAGAAGCACATCCATGTAAAAAAGAAAGGAGCATTCTCGTATAACACTCAGAGGATATGTCATAAGTGGAAATATGTTCATAATTTCTATTTACTCTTAGCTGTAATTACCATCTGCCTTAAGAGTACTTTCAGTCTTTGTCAAAGTTGCTTAGATATTTCCTCTGTCACATYTGAAGCAGAGAAGTTCTACTCAGACGAGATCCTGCGATGTGATTTCTTCTTTTATTCTTCTATAAGAATTTAATTATCTATTCTCTGTGTGAAGAAAGCAGCCGTATTCCGGAGACCTGAGCCTCCCCAGCCTGCTTGGACTGGCATGCCTCTGATTCATGTCCTTGCTTACTCTTACCATCTGTCTGCAAACCAGCGCTCTTCAGTTTTAGCTTCACACTGACTTACACGTTGCCCTCTAATGATTAACTCTTTAAAAAAGATGTTCTTCTTTTTGCTGCAGTGTCTATGAGCCAGATAGAAATGTGCTGCGAAGGAAGGAATGGGAAAGGAGAAATCAGGAGGCCCAGCAGGAAGATGGCACATTTAACACGAGTTACTCCCTCTTCAGTGAACCATACAAGGTAGATGCTTCCCAGCTGGGAGTTCATTTATTTATTTATTTATTTATTTATTTATTTATTTATTTATTTATTTATTCCACAGTATAAAAATGCAGCCTTTCAGCCTGCATTGTCCAGGTTTCAGTAACCTCTCACAAGTGCTAGAGTCACAAAAATTGCATGGAACATTTACGACTCATTTGGAACTGGGTTTTCTTTTTTCTTCTTTTTTTCTTTCTTTTTTTTTCATTATCTTCTTGTAATTCAGCTGCACATAAGGGTGAAATAAACTAGCAGCATCTAACCATGCTGGCATTAAAACTGGAGGTGAAGGTGGCATTAAAATTGGAGGTGAAGGTGATGGTATCCTGTTTTTGCAACACATGGAAGAAAATAATTGTGTTAGAATTGTCGGTGAAGGTCAAGCTGCATAGCACATAATATGCTCTAAGCAAGGTTAATGCAATGAAATCCTGTTTTTTTTTTGTGTGTGTGTGTGTGTCTGTTAACCATGTTCTGCCTTCAGCAACAGCACAAGTAGGTTATGAGTCTCAAGTCCTTGCTTTATCCCTCTTGGGAACAGTAGTGTGATGAGGCACAATGCTCTCCCCCACTTCCCCTTAGGAAGATCAAGGAGGATCTTCTGCATTGAACTGCTGCCGASAGAAGCACACAAATGGCACAAGACCCAGGAGCCGTATCTCACAGGGGCTGCTCCTCTCCAGCAGCCAGCCCAGGCACTGCCTGCATGCATCAAAAACATCGTCACGTATCTTTCACTGTGCCCTTCCAGTGATGCCCAAGTTAGTGTGACAGTTTGTGAAGCATTTTGTCTTCATGGAGCTCCACTCATCCTTGTTGCTTTGGGTGCTCTTCTTAGCAGGTCTGGTTGGGATATGGAACCCGTTACAGTCTTTAACTTAGCGTGGCCCACAGTCAGATTTTATCTTGCTAAGGCTTATGTTCCTTCCAAATTTTTGTGTTTCTAGACCATAATAAGAAAGAAAGAGCTACTGGTTTCAAACCAAGGCCCTTGACAGAAGACAGCTCTGTCTGCCTTGAAGCTGGCTTCCAGCTGCCCAAATTTCAGATTCATTACAAAGGCATTTAGAAACCGTGAGAAGCATCTTGAACTCCTCCTCAGGGCTCTGCYTGAGAAAGTCTACTGTGAGACCAGTCAAGCTATTACAGCTAACCCATAGAAAAAAGTAAAAAAAGAATTGATGCAGCTGTGTCTTGACATTTAGTGAAGGCTCTGCTGGCTCTGCTGCAATTGGGACTAGTCATTTAACATTTGGTAGATACTATCAAATAGGCCTTGGCAAAAGGGCCTTTGATTTTGCTGCATCCTTGATACCTTTTGTCTGTTATGTTGATTTGTCTTGTTATGTAATATTGATGCTCAAATCACTTATAAAAGTAGTATAGTTACAATATTTTGCACACCGTGACTACTATGTGTGTCCCAGTGCTTTGACCTCTCTACTTACTGTCATGCCATAGACTTCACACATCACAGACACATCAGTAGTTTCTGAATTTGTTTATAATTTTTGAAAGCACCCCTACTCAATCACAGTATAATTCCACCCACCTAAATAAGAGTGGACAAAAAAATCATTGCTCTCTCTAGAAGCAGAGGGGATTCCAGCTGAGTATCCCATGTGAAGATCAGAATAAAGGTGCCATCCATGCATCTCATCTTTAACCATCGTGTCCCTATTTTGGCCTAGCTGGCCACAGCAACTGGGAAGACCCATCAGTCTGATACTATTGGTCACCAAAATTTAGACAGARGGATGCTCCAAATGTCTGATCTGCACTGGTGATGGTCTCTTGGACTCTCTGAACTCTTGCAGGCATTTCTGAATCACCAGTGAGGTGCAGCACTGTCACTCTTGGCTGTGAGCACTTTGATGTTATTGAGAAAAGAGACTGACTGCAAAAGAGGATACCTGACTGCAAAAACAAGAGTGAAAACCTCTATACCATCTTTGAAGATCATGTTCAAGTCTTCAGAGTTTCCACAGGGGAATGAAGTTACAGTGACATTCACTGCAAGTTCTCATTGAATTCAGTGTTCCTCTGCACAGCTTGAGAAACATGAGCTAGAACTAAATGATTTTCTATCTGGAAGGCCATATCTGGAAATCAAAGGCAGACTGGAAATCTCTCAAATTTTGTGCCCTTTCTCACCTTGACACATATTTCTACTCCTGTAGAGGTAGGTTTTCTGAAAAATCCTGACTGTTTGGGTTGYCCCTTGTCCTGTGCCTTTCAAAGTATCCATAGCAACCTTTTATGAAAGAAATSCACTGTCTTCCACAAAAAGTAGTCTTTCACAGGAGTTAAAAAAGTAGAAATTTCATTCTTGATATTTCATGATAGAATGCCCTTTCTCACTAGCCATAGCAGTATTTTTAATGAAGGAAAAAATTCTGGTGGCTTTCCTTGCAACCATTAAGCTTATTTTTAGAAGTACTGTATCTTGCAGATGTTTGAGCGTATGGATAAGTGGGAACTATCCACTTTGCAGAGCACTGTAAGTTAGACATGTTTGCCCTGAACGCTTTTCCTACTTACTCATTTTGGGACTACGTATTCCTAATATGAAWGATTAACTAAATGAGGCCAGCAGCATTTCAGAGCAAGTAATGGAGTGAGTTGTTATATCTAAAGCTCAGAATAAGGTACCTCAAATCCCACCATGCTCCCAAGAAAGTTTAAGTAAGCTCTTCTAGATGAATTCACCTCTTCTCAAAATCTTCTCACTTCAAACTGTTCTCGGCCTGGCAAAAGCACTAACATGTTGGACACACAGCATGTGTCATCATATAGATCTGTTTGCTGCAATTATTTGTGTGGTTTTCTGTCATCTCTCAAAGAAAGATATCTTTCTGTGAACATCTCATCCACATTGAAGACAATCTCCTGACTTTTCTAGGGTATTTATATCCCACAGACTAGTAGCTACTTCTCCTCCAAATATCAGCCATTAGAAAGCATAGACCTTGCATTAGGGTAGCTGGACTTTCTACGGCATGAATGTACAGATGTAGTGATGAACAATTCAAGGATTGAAATTGCAAAGAATTGAGAAACATGAGATTAATAAGCCCAACTATATATCCCAACAACAAGATCAGTAAGCCCAACTATAGGCAGGCTAGAGCCTGATYTAGAAGCATCTCAGGATCTCCCTTGTCAGCTCTGCAATTTTTACCATACTACCAATCAAGCAGACTAACATGGGGGATTCCTGTGAAAGGAAAGTGCCATCTACATTACTTGAAGTGCCACAATCAAGCATCCCTTCTATCCAGTTAAAGCAGTAAAGTATTGCATTTGCCACACCTTGTTTTCATGTACATGATGTTTCATGTACATGATACTTCCCACTTTTGAAGTCCCATTAGGAGTTTCCTCTCCTATGGGATGCCACTGTGGTTTTTGAAAAGTGAAGGAACACACCATTYTAAGCCAGTTAAAATTAAGTTAAGCCAGTCCGTATCTGTGAGTAATGGTTTCACATTTCTTTTTATGGCAGATCATGACATAGCTGGAGAAAGGAGAATATTGTTGACAAATATGTCAGATAGGAATATCACCTGCTAGCTTGTTGGCATGGTTCAGAAAACTCTCTGCTGCAAAAATTCACCCTTTTGCTCACAGTAGCTTTTTAAAGCAATACTATTCTATCACTTTAGCTATTGTTTGTTTGCTTTTGCTTATTCCTTCGAGGAACTTCTTTCCTTTTCAGTCAGAAGTAAATGGATGATTTCAWAAACAGTGGTGATTAATCTCAAAGGAAAGAAAGGGTAGGTGTCTCGAGCTGTGTCCCACTGCTGTGCTCACAAGCCCAGAACATTACTGCAACCTCGGGGGGATCTGTTCACATTTTTTATTTTCAACGGGAAGATGCCCAGAGTGAGCATCCTACACAGTATTTTCAAAGAATTTGCATCACAATCTACAATTTTCCTATGGTCCCATGGTGTCTCTTCAAGTAACTTCATAGGTAGTGGGTTGGTGAGTTCATTCAGTGCTTGCACTAGTAGTTATGTACTAGTGTCCCAGCACTGCAATGCGAAAGCATAAGCAGGCAAAGGAAGAAATTAGGAATGTGGCACTTACACTCATGGCTGAAGGAAAGCTTGCACTGGGCTGCAGGAAAAGTTTTATCATGGTCAGATTTAATCCAAACCATTCGGTGTAGTTGCACTAATAAATTTTCTAGTTTCCAGGTGATATATTTTAACTACAGCATGATACCAGTGATAGATTTCTTTTCTTTTATATACTCTAAGGCCCTTTATAGGTTTTCGCGTTCAGGCTAGATTTAAGATGTTGACAAGTGCCTTCAGAGACAATAAGGATTTTCGATTCCATCCCTCAGTGATGCTGCTGAATAAGGCAGTGTGAATTCAGTAAGGATTCCAGCAGAAGCATTCAGGGAATTTTGGTTTTCTTATGCTGACCATTACAGAGCACTCAATTTTTGTTTTGCAGACTAACAAGGGAGACGAGCTCTCAAATCGCATCCAGAACACCCTGGGCAACTACGATGAAATGAAAGACTTATTAACTGATCGATCAAACCAGAGCCACCTCGTCGGGGTCCCAAAACCAGGCGTTCCCCAGGCCTCTCTTCCTAAGCCTGATGAGCACCTTGTCACTGACTCGAGACCTCTGCCACCTCCACCTGCTGGCAGTGCTTCTTCTTCCACACCAGCAGCTCTACCAGCCCAACAGAGTAAAAGCTCCGCAATGGCTTGGCCGAAGGCCGGGCACAGCGCAGCTTCGGAGGGCCAGCAGAGAGCAAGCAAGCACGGGCACAGGTCKCTGGGGTCACACAAGAGCGACTTCAAGCTGGCTAACCAAAAGTCCAGTCTGGACAAACTGAAACGCTATGCATCTAGTCCCACCTCCTCCTCCTCCAACTCTGCCCAGCAGGGCTCACTGAGGTCCACGCTGGGGGACAACGTCACCAGGGTGCAGCAGCAGCTGAAGCTAAGCTGTGCTTCCGAAGGAGCGGCTCAAGYGCAAGAGCGGCCAGCAAAGCACGGTGGCGGGCACTGCGTCCAAAACTTCCCACCTTCACTGGCCTCAAAGCCCAGTCTGGTTCAGCAGAAACCGACGGCTTATGTGAGACCAATGGATGGTCAAGACCAGGCCCCTGATGAGTCTCCAAAGCTGAAGCTGCCGGCAGAGACAACCAAGTCGTACAGGGGAGTGCCTTCTAGCAAGGCTGATTCAGCCAGGACCAAATCAAAGATAGCCAAGTTCAGCATTCCTAAGCAAGACGAGGTAAGTGTCTGTAAGCGTTTTAGGATGTGCCCCTCCTTACATGTATAGATAGTAGCTTATCATTGCAAACTACATGTATTTAATTATTTGTTTGAAGGCTGTGAGAATTTTTCCACTTTTATTTATTTTTTTATTGACATTGATGTCCTGTATTGCAAAAAGCAGCCTCATGGTTATATTGAAAATGATTGGCAAAATGGTGTCTTCAAGACTGCAGTGTTTCCTACCCTGGCACATTTTCTAATACTATGTATAATCTCATTTGTTGACACATAATATTTGGATAATTTGAATTTGTCTTTTTGCTAACCTTGTGTACTACTGTTAACTTTCCATACTTTTATGACTTTTTCCACTTTGGCAATAATTAAACAACATTCTTCTGATCAGAAGTAGTTCTGCCATCCTCAGTGATGTCAAAGCAGTTTCACAATCTAAAYAAATTACTTAAGCAATAGAAGATCTGTGGAATAGATGAGAATGTAATAAAGAGATTCTCCTTTCAATTTCTTAGCTTTCATAATATCTGTTTCTGTTTCAAAACTGTTCTGTAAAGATGGTTGTTTTCCTCCTCAAGAATCACCATCTTGTAGAAAACCAATGATGATACAAGCATGAGAAGACATCTGAAAATGTCTGAAAGCTTCGAGGCAACATTTCTTTTACTAGTCAAAAGATCTATGCTTTGATTTATTTTGCCTTCATTTATTTCACATTCCACTGACTCTAATAGGGCACCTTGCTTCATCACTCATATAGCCTGTGATTTTCTGTTTGATTTTGAGGTTTTCGGAGGGGAGAAATTGGATAGTTTTAGCAGGATGAAGGGCAATTTTTCTTCTTTTTTTCTTAGAGACCCATAGTCCAATAAAAGATGATCACATCCTCTTCTTGTGCAAATTGGTCGAGCTCCCACAACTTAAAGAATTTATGCTGTTGATAGGACTAAACAGCTATGTTCAGCTGAATCATTGGAACTGTCTCAGAGCAGAGATAGTGGTTGTTTACACTTACTTGACAGCTGTGCCGTRTCTTGAGATGTTTTTAGTCTTAACATTCTCGTTTCTGGCATTGTTAAGGGAGAAGAAAACTCTCATTTTTGRTGGAGTTCTCCAGCCTCATAATATCTGTTTTCAAGAAATGGAGTTCACTGTTGTATTCCTCTGCAGTTTGGCTTAGGAAAGAAATCTCTCTGGAAGCAATTACTTTCCTCGGTTCCTCTAGGCATTATACCCACGTGGCTTTTCTCTAAGTTAAAGTTCCATCAGTTGCGAACAACTCCAGAGTGATATGTTGTTCCTGAAAAGTGCTTGTTTTAGGCTCTTAAGCCAGATTTGATAAGCAAATRTAGTATTCACAGATTGCTGTAATTGTGCACACAGATCAGGTAATGGCACATACTAATATCCATTTAGCTGCTATTACCTCCTTCAGACTTATGCTTCCCTCTGCGACTGAGGATTGTTTTTAGAGCTAAGGATGTCTGTAGCACTTGTCTGATTCTTTCAAATTTTCCTCCTTTATATGTGTGCAATACACTAGTGACAAGTTTAGAAAAGGACTCTTATAGGGAATAATTCGTTTGTCTGAAATTCAGGATTTGCATTCCAGATTTGCCTACTTCAATAGCAAAGGAAGCTCTCACTGCTTGTACATAATCCACAGGACGCATAGGGAAAATGTATACTGCAGCTTCTAGACCTATAGATGTATTTGAGATGGCTTTAAACAAACGTGTCTACTTGCTGCACTAACTAGTGGCAACATAAGCTATGATGAGAGAGGAGCACAGCTGAGCTGCTCAGGTGATTTTGTGGCATGCAGTGTCTTTGAAACAGCATTTGACAATGTGGGATATAAGCATTTAGCTGAAGTGGAAAGACATGGACAACAATCATTGTCGAGTAGGCTAAAAAAGTGGCTAAGAAATTATAAAAAATGATGGACATATTACTTGGAAGAAACAACAGATACTACAGATATTGGTGGCTTTTGAAACTGAAACTAAAGAGAAGACAGTGTTTAGATCTCATGGTTGAGAGTCCTGAAGATAAAAGTACCMATTTTTTTCCTGTTTCTTTTCCTTTATCCTGACATTTCCTTTGTTCTAGGATTTTCCATCCCAAATGGCACAAGACGATATTGGTGGCCCGCTGATATTTCCACAGGGAGAAATATTGACCAACACTGAAAGTTATTTCAGCCCCTGTCAGTGTTGCCTAAGCTACTCTAATTTTTCAGACACACTTCTTTGTGTTTCAGAGTATTTTCCACTCTTGCTGTGTATCAAAGGTCTCCTAATATACTGTCATAAGAATTTCCATGCATTTTTAGGATTTCTGCTTTCATGAAACTTCTCCTTTGTCTCACAGGCCATTGTCCCTCATTAGGGACAGAATTTTCAGACTGACATGCTCTTGTGGACCTGCACAGGCAAAATGAGCCTTCCCAATATACCCTTCCGGACCATGAGGTGGCTGGAAGAGTGGAAATGCCTTATGGGGTGTCCGTGAAAGTAGACAAATATGCTGGAAAAGTACATGAGAAGCAGAAAGGATAGGGGCAGGAAGCTCTCTGTCTACAGGCATTTTATTGCTATGCTTTTTTTTATCCATGTGCATAATAATACTAAGTTCCAAAACAGGTGTGTTTTAATTCGGCCTAGACAAGGTCTGCTGCTGTGTAGGAGCACTGAAAAGCAGGAGGCTCTAAGGGGAAAAGATGCAGATAGGGGAGGTGAGGTGTGAGCACAGCAGGTAGGTGTGAGAGGGAACATGGGACTCGACATAAGGAAGATAAATGGGGGCAGATGCTTCATGAGGGGCCAATGGCAAGAAATGACCATTTCCTCAACTCCTACAGAATCAGTAGGAATTACCCTGAACACAGGGTAATCGGCACTTCTGTGTGTCATTTCAGCTTCATTTTGAACATCATGTGGCTGTAGGCAACCTCAGGTTTTGCAAATGAAGAAAACCAAGAGACAATAACAGAGTGTTAGAAATCTCCTGATTTTTAACTCCACTTCATAAGGCATTTGGGCCGAGTCCTCTGTTTGCATGTGCTTTCATTTAGCATAAAGTCCTTTGCAGAGTCTGTCAGCATATCTAATAGCGTTGCACTTTCATCTGTGTTTACTGGTTTGAAGGATCCATCAGCTGAAAAACAAACCCATAATGAAACAAAGTTAAGCATATACATAAGAACTGAAGCATGAGAAGCGATGTTATGCAAAGCGTGTGTCTTCATCAGGAAACAAAATCCTCCCCTGTACATCCCTTGAGGTTTTCAGAAGAACAGGGCACCAAGTTGGCTGCAGTACAATTATTATTCTGTGGAAATAAAAGCACTTGAATACAAATTATAGACCATTACATTTCAATACACGAAAAAGGTTGATTTTAAATGTAGTTCAATACCTCATTTAATATTTTTAATCAGTTTTGGAAAGCCTTCAATATCTTGACATGGAGTGAAGCTTATAATTTTTTTTTAATTGTTTTAATGAGATAGACCTGTGTGTAGAGAGGTAGCGGTTACTCATTTGGGAATTTAATCTTTAGGAACCAGGTTCATCAGTGTTAATTAGAATCCATACCCAACYTCCCGGTCCTTCTCAAATTATCATATTGCTCTGTATAAATGATAGCTCGCCATATCAAATACTGCTGTTTCACATTTTAAACTACTTAGGAATTATATTGCTGTAGGTAAAAATCCACTGTACTGAATAGAAAGGAAGAAAATGTGATATCACAGTATAGAGGAAAGAGGTAGAAAAAGTAAGTGCCTCTCATTTCCAAAATTTTGTTATGAATGAGATAATAATAAAAAAAAAAAAACTAAGATGGCAAATCATGTTCTCTATATTCAAGTTCCATTTCTGAATTTCTTGCTGTAGACTGCATGCTGATTTTTATTATTACTTCAAAGATACATTACCTATTGTGCTTTGCTTACTTCTCTAAGGGCTGTGGAGCAAGGAAAATGAGGTTGTATTCAAGAATGACTATCGGTATAATGGCAAAAAGGACAAGTTTTGTTTTGTTAAATTTGGGAACATGTTTACGTGAAATGCAGATAGTAGATAAGGTCACCACGAGGACATGTTCTTATTCCACTTCGTGGAGTACTTACACAAGTTCTTCTGTAGCAGAAGTAATGCACAATAGATTAAATGTTGAATCTTTTTTCATTTCTGCCCCAGCCTTACACAGGCAAATTCCTGTTTGCCTGTGTGAGATACTCTCTGCAGCCATTCTTGTTCAAGTGGCTATATATAGCTGTCAGCATCTGGCACATGCCCTAGCAAGTGCTCTTTAAATCTTTTCTTTCCTATCGTTTCTGTCACTGTATCTTAATAGAAACCAAAAAAGAGTACTTTTTCCTCCCTCCTCAGAAACAAACAAAAAAAAAAAAAATCCCAAAATAGCCAATAAATGTAGACTTAATAATTTGTTCACAATCATATTCTTTTAAGGATATCTTTGATGCATTACATGTATAATATGTACTGCCATGTTTAACATTGAGAGTGCAAATTCATGTGATGAAAAAATTCATGTGTGAAAAAACAAGTCCATCCACATCTTATTTGATTACGGAAGCTCTAGTGCAGAGTAAGTATGGTAGATGGTCAAAGTTTTTCTTCTCTGAATTCCCATGTGTCTGCCCCAGGGAGGCAGAAATGGAAACAGAGGAGCAGCTGAAGATGCTGTTAGAGAAAACTGAAGATACAGGTTGAACAAACTAGCCAAAAAAAAAAGAAAAAAAAAACCCCAAAACCAAAACCAAAAAATAAAAAAAAAACCACCACCAAAAAAACCTCTGAAAGTCTTCTGACATCATTCAAGGACTAGCCCAAAGAGGCTGAGACATAAGCATAATAAGTACAGAATTAAGTGTGTTGATATTCCTCTAACATTTATCAATTTTATTGAAGAATTGCAGTGCTTGAGAAGCCAGTCTGCAATCACAGCACTTGAGCACTGTTAAGTATT